TGTAGCTACTTGTCTGTATTTGGGAACCACACGTGAGAGGTATGACTTACGTGGGTATTGGTATTGGTATGTGGTTCCATAGCATCTGAAAATATCATATGGTGATTTTTTCTTATCTTGTAAGTGGTTAGGGTCTTGTATGACATGCGATCGGATTTTTACATGCATGTTTTCAAAATGAAAATTTATTTTCATATAAAATGCATTATCCACTCACTGGGCTCCCTAACTCACTGTTTTATGTTTTTCTCTCCCCCACCCCCCAGGATTGTAGACCGGGTCCACGTGGAGCGCAATTTATACTCTAGGTTGGCCATTGACACATGATCATCAGCATATTTTGTAACATTGTAATGCACTATGATACTATGTTTTATGTATTTGGATTCTGTAACTCCTGTTTTCAGAACATTTATTTTATGTTCTTTCGCTATCAGAACTTTCATTTGAAACATTTAGTTGTAATACTTTTCATTTACGTTTATAAATAGATTTGTTTTTACGAAATGTTTTCAAAATATTCACCCTCCTCTCGGAATCTTGAGTCTCCTGGAGCGCTAGGATCCGGCGGGATAGGGATACCCAAAAGGGTGTGTGACACAAATGTATTTGTTTTTCGGCAAATTCTAATTTTGTTGTGTAGCATGTGTGTGAGTTTGTTTAAAAACCAACAAAGAGAGTGAGTTGAGGAGGTGATTGAGGTAAGGAGTTTGAATGTTTGATTACAAGAGTGATGTTTCAGAAAACGGTAGGGATTGGGAATTATGTTAAGGGTTTTGGTTAAAGTTGGAAGAGATGAATACGAATGGTAATGGTGGAAATAAGATGAAAAGAAGAGGATAACTGCAAGTGTTTGTTAGGAAGAACCACCATCTTTTGAGATAAAAAAGAAGCATTGTTGCATCATATTATGGGACGAGACAGGAGATTCTTCATTAACTATAAAATATTCCATATACAAGTAACTTTCATGATATTAATTTTCAAAAGAGAAAAATAAAAAATCCACCCTAAAGTATGGGAAAGTCAATAATTTTGAGGATTTTAATCAAGTTCCCTTTGGTCGAAATGCATCAAATTGGCTCCAAATGAGTTATGGCTTTAATAAATCTGTTAAGGGTTAAATTTGACACCCCTACAAACTCCAAAAATTGCAGTCTACACCCCATGTGCATGTCAGGTATCTATTTTGGCTGATAATTCAAACAATGATTGTGTCTGACCTTTAAAATGTTAAAATTACCCTTGAAAATATTCATTTGCAATTTTTTTTTTTTGGGCATTGACTATCTTTGACCTTTTAAATGTCTTCAATGCCCCTAAAGCTTTTCTAAACACTTTAAAACTTTATACAAAATTATTTAAGATTATTTAAAAAAANAACTTTATAACAAAATAAATAATAAACTTAAAAATGGATTTCAAAATTTTAGGAATATATCTATTGCACTTACATCAGACATATGGGTTTGTAGATCAAAAACCGATTTTTTAACTGTCACAGTATATTTCTTAGATCATAATTAGGGTTTACAACAAAAATTGATAGGTTTTAAACCATTATATGAAAAATATAGTGCTGAAACTATTTATTTTACAATTCTTGAAGTTTTGCAAGAATATTTATTACCTGATAGAGTTGTAGATAATACAGCTACTAACACCGTGACAATCTCTTTATTTAAAAAGAGATTGGATCTGCGTGGTGAAGGCAAATTTTTTCACCAGAGATGTGATTGCCACATCATCAATTTGATAGTTAAAGTAGGTTTAGATACTATAACTTCGAAGATGGAGAGCGTGCGCGCGACTATCAGATTTATCGTCGGCGGTGGTAATAAAAGATGGCAGGAGTACGTCAAATATTGTAAGTAAGAGGACTCACCGGTTCAACCTTTGAGGTTATGTACAGACATGCCTATCCGTTAGAACTCCACCTACTTAATGTTGGAAAAAGCTTTGCCAACCACGAAACAAATTACAAAATTCGTCAACCGGAAGCACTATCCAAAGGAAGTTGTCAGCTATGATGATTGGGTGGCTTGTGAACTTTTTTATCAATTTCTTCAAATTTTTTATGATGCTACTAATACGTTAAGTGGTATTTATTATCCGATTACTAATTTAGTGTTAGATATTTTACTTCAAATTGCTAAAACTTTTGCTCAATATAGATATAATAATTGTTTAAGAGAAATTGTTTTAAAGATGGAAGAAAAATATGAGAGATATTGGTTAGATATTCTATTCTTATATGGATTAGGCCTTGTTTTAGATCTTACGTTTAAATTACACGTAGTTAACTGTATAATTACTGAGATATGCCAGCATTTAGGACATGATTATACGTCTTATTTGACTAACTTTAAACAAAAATTGGATAGTCTTTTTTCTTTATATGAGAACAGATACAATGGAAGTGGAAGTAGAACGTTTAGGAGAGAGGATCCGGACCTTAAAGCAGCCCTCCGTCAAGGATCAAGCAAGTGGACGTATGTGGAACGTGGAGGAAGTAACAGCTCCAACTCATACATACATGGACTAAATGAGCTGAATCGCTACCTACAAGTGGACCTGTCATTTATGACGATGAAGGAGCAACATGATATGGATATTCTTCAGTGGTGGAACCAACATGAAAGTCGATTCCCCATTATAGCCCAAATAGCACGTGACATTTTATCTGTGCTAGTTTCTACAATTGCATCCGAGTCAACATTTTCAACGAGTGGTTGGATTGTTGAAGACAGAAGATGTTCTTTAACCGATGAGATGATTGAAGTGATAACGTGTTTACGGGATTGAACACATACAGAAAAAAGACTACAACAGCACCCTGAAGATCCCAAATTACTCGAACTCTTAAGGAATATAGATTTGGATGATGTAAATATTGTTGACGATGAAAATGAATAATTTAATAAAAAAATTATTTAATTGTTTATTTGTGAAGTGTGAATGTGTGAAATGTGAATTTATGTTAAAAATTAAAATTAACTATTAATTTATTATTTTTTAAAACTAATTAAATTTTTAGAAATTTACTAATCTATCCCTGAAAAATACTAAAAACCCCCTATAAAATTTCATTTTTCCCCTAAAATATAAAAAAAAAGAACAGGGGGAAAAATAAATTATTCAAGCCCATAGGACCGGTCCTGGGCCCATAGGACCAATCCTAGGGACCGGTCCGGGTCCTCATATTTCTCATGGGCCTGAGATTGGTCACAGGCCCAAGCCTGGGCCTGCTTGAGACTGGTCCTTGACCAGCTCTATTTACACTTGTCAAGATCTAACTAATATATGGGGCTTACCATAATGTGTTGGAAAATTCAATTTGACCATAGAAAAATTAATTAGGGGCCAAAGTTTTACCTTAGTAATTCAACGTAATGAAATAAATATATATTTGACCCAAACTAGGATGTGACTTAAATTTTGCTGTAGAAAGGATGTTAATTTGGTCAAATAATGTTAGAAAATATTAATTTAGAATTCTATAAGTCATTGAAATTACTCTTCACCATCCGTAATAAAAAAATCAAATGTAATATTAGAAATGATTTTCTCATTAATTATTAATTAAAAAATGTTAATCCTTAATTTATTTATAATTCACTTAAGCAATCTACAAATAATTTTTCATGAAATTACAAAGATAAGTTGAGTGTAAATATAAATTTTAAATATATAGCCGGCTAAAAAAATAAAATAAAAAATAAAAATTTTGTAGGTGGGCCTGCTTGCTAGGCCCAAAGCACGACAGGGTGTATAGTGAGCCATGCCATGGGCCTTCAAATTTGGTGGGCTGGCACGACACGACAAAGCACAAATTTTTGCGGGCCTTGGCACGATAAAGCCTACGGCACAACAAGTCTTCAATTTTTAAGGGCATAACATGATACAACACGGCCTACCGCCAGCTCTAATATATATAGTATACTGATATCAATCTTTTTAGTGTCAACAAGGGAACAAAGATGAATAATATTTCCAAACTTTTGAAGATAATTTAAGAAGAAAGAAAATGGGTTATTGTACTCAGTACTATAATAAAAAAGGAGCCGTGACGATTTTGAGTAAGAGAAAGAAATGTGGAATTCTCTTTTATGTTCTCTCATTTTAGTCGTTTTTTACCATTTAACTTGATATAACAATAATTTGATTGGAAGGAGTAATTGTTAAGTCCAATGTGAGTAGTGAATTTTTGTTGGCCATGAAGATTAAGTGTCTTTACCAGATCGGGTTAGCAATTTTTCTATTCACAGAAAACCCTAAAAATTGGGATGATGATTGACAAACAATTGAAAACCAAAATGTTAGAGGTTTTGAAGAGAAAGGGACGATGCTTGCAATGGTGGCAACAAAGGTGATTTCCGACGAATGAATCGACCGAAAATCGCAAAACTAAATCCACGACAACAACATGCTATTGTCGACGATTAGCGAGGCAATCGAGAGCAGTGAGATGATTTTTAGTCAGGTGGTTAAAGAGAGTGTTTTCGTAGTGATTGGAGAGTGTTGTCATCACCAAAAACAGGTCATATTTGCCCTAGTTTGCCGACGCCAACAATGGTGTTTGGATTGCTTTTGCAAGATTTAAAACTTGTAGACTTAAGTAATTTTTAAGGGTGTTTTTATTATATTTCAAACTTTTAGACATCGATTTAACCGGTCAAACCGGTTAACCAGGTCAACCCATGACCCAACTGCCAGTTTCACCACGGATTGGTTATTAAAACACTGTCCTGTGCTTTAAGCTTGTGATAATCAGCAAACAGTCAATATCGTTGAAAGCTCATGAACCATTTGTTTACACACATTCAACGATAAATTACTTCAATTTGACACAAAGGGTACCGTATCATAAAAGTCTAACTCACCCAAGAGCCAGAAGACTACTAAACTGAATGCTAAACTTTCACCAAAGCAAATAACCCTTCACTCCGGAACCATACACACAATATGCAAAAATACAATATGTAATCTACTAGGCGTTATGGAAAGAACTAAGTGGGGTGATATAGATAGGCCATAAGCACAAAAGAAGAGACAGACAAGTACGTTTTGGAACAGTCTTAATCCATTTAAAAACTAAGCTTCTTGGAGAAAATCCTCTAAAAGAAAAAAATTTAGTGGTACTCTAAACATCTGGAATAAAAAAATTATGATCCATTCTGACGCATCCTAAAACAATTTGGCCAAAGATAGCTAACAAAACTGTTTGCTTTGAACATCACCAACCCGCATGAAGATCAGGTAATTTATGACTTGAAATAGAATGCAAAGAATCTCCAAAATTGGTCAGGTTGACATCGCCTGCCTGGGGAATGGCCTCTCAGGTTATTTCACAATTTCAACCGAATAAGTCCTCTTCCACACTCCCATTCCACGCTGAAAAAACCCTCATACTGAACACACCCCCAATATGTAGCTCGGGTTCAGCCATGAGTGAGACACTTGACTCCACCTTAGAACTCGAGCATCTCTCCTCCTGTACACACAAGGGCAAATACAGGGGGAAAATGATTATGCCATCCTCAAAGTCAACTACCACTATGTTATCACTATCCACTATGAAGTTTCAACTACCACTACGATTACTGCTACCCACTACGAAGTGATCAACCCAAGTGACCCAAAGCTCCACTGCTATCGCTATTAGTAAAAACCTTCAGTACACTGTTATCCCTACAAATATGCAAAATAAAATATAGCACTGCAACCTATCACTTTGTTTCCAATGCCGTCTAAATCAGTATGCAGGAAATCAAAATTGATACTGCACTCAAACCAACATAAATAAAGTTATATAAAGCTACTATAGCTTAAACACTACGACAGACAAGACAATTCTGCAAGTAAACAATTATAAGCACGCCAAATTTAAACTACACTCAATAGCAAATACTAAATAAGATCGGCATCTATCATGCCTTGAAACTACTCTTATTACTATCAAAATAGTACTGCAAACTACTGGGATTCAAGCAATCCAACCAGTCCCAAAGAGCAATGACATCAACTTGAGCTGCCCCATTTGTTGCAGGAAAAAACAGAGCATGCCCTCATCCACAAAGAGATGGGTCTGAAGCACGGAGCTTAGGTCCAGTTGGCAAAAAAGCAATCTAATCACTGTTGTTGGGCTTGTCGGGCCTGAGCACCACCATATCCAACCCCATAGCCAACTTGCCCACCATGAGGACCATTTCCTTGAGTTCCATAATTTCCAGAAGCTTGTGATGCATCAGATCTCCAACCTCCATTTCCATACCCTGAATTTCCATTAGAATCACCATAGCCGCTTCCCATGTAGCTGCCACCACTCCCTTGTAATTCTCCTGCACCCTGATTACCACTTGGGACACTCCCAGAACGTCCACCAACAGCTCCATAAGCAGAGGCATTCCCGTACGAACCTTCACTTCCACCATACCCACCATACCCATAACCTTGATTCCCATACCCAGTGGCCCCACTAGGAGATTGACCAGTAGGTGTTGAACCAGGACCACCACTGCTGCCACCACTGCCACTACCCCAAGGAGCAGCAGTTCCATAGCCCATGGTACCATAACCAGAGGGAGCTTGGGTACCCCATGAACTTCTGGGCGCACCCGGTGGACCACTTGCATAACCAGCACTAGCTACATTTGGGTTCCCATAGGTGGCACCTGCAGGGCCACCATACCCAGTATTGGCACCACCATAACTGCCATAACCGCCATAACCAACACTGTTGCTGGATGGACCATATCCATAGCCAGGTGTACTATACCCAGACGAACCATAAGGTGGAAAGCCACTTCCAGTATTCTGAGGCTGCATGTACCTATTAGAATCCATACGACCCTCAAATGCACTTGAATTGCCACCAGAAGCACCATAACCCTGATAACCACCAAAACCAGCACCACCAGCCCCCATGTTACGGCCACCTCCTCCAGGATTGGCATCTTTAGGAAGAGCCCGTTTTACTTCAACTTGTTTACCATTCAAATCATGAAATGTTTTATGTAAAACCCTATCAACTGCATCTTCAGTATCAAAGGAAATAAAGCCAAATCCACGAGGCCGTTGAGTATTCTGGTCATACATGATTACCACATCAGTGACATGACCATAACCTTCAAAATATTGACGAAATCCATCTTCAGTTAGAGTGGGAGGCAACCCTCCAACAAATATCTTCTTGGTCCTGATGTTTCCACCACCTCCATTGCTTCTAGAAGAATTAAAGTTTCCAGTTCTGGCTGATGTTTGCTGCTCCTCTCTTGACATGGCTCTCTTCGCCTCAACCTGAACAATGCAGAATAAATATTGGCAACATTCCAAAAATTCCAATAAAATCAATAGTTCACAGGAACCAAATAATATAAAACTTCAATTTTCCAAAATCATTAATAAGATCAAATTGCTTTAATATGCACATGAACAGCTGTAAACAGAAGGGTAGGGGGCGGGGAATTTCAACCCTCAATAAACTACTATTAGAAGTCTAACTTTAAGAAATGTTCAGACAAAAAAATTGTTATAAAGGTTGACTTCATACTCATGAATTCACACATCAGATAAATTTATTTGTCAGTGACACCTATAAAGGTGTCAATGCAGTAACAGATGATAGTTGCATGATGCTGCAGCCTCGATATAGATGATTCAGCAAGTTTATTATCACTGCAAGGACATGGCTCAGAATGTGAAAAATTTAGTCCTAGAGCAAATAATATTAACCTCAGAATATCTCTGTCAAACAAACATCACTACATTTAACAAACCTAACGCATTTATCTAGCTTAATGCCAAGTGTACAAGAAAGCATAACTGATATCTCCTCTCACACATGCACAGCATTAAATAGACTATTATTCAAAGGCGAAAATCCACCCTTCAGCAAAAAGTTGACAATACCAAAACAAGAATCCCATGCCCTCTAAACAATTAGGTTGAGCACCTAAGCCACAGTTAGCTTGCATTCAAAACATACACACGCAAGCCCATTCATGAAAGAAGGAAAAGGTGATTAGCCCCTCAGACCTTCAAAACAGTGTAACTTCACCTCCAACAAGAAAAATAAATATTTATATATTATCCATCTTACCAAGACCATTCAGTGATTAAGTTATTAAGCAACTGCCGAGGTAAATCCATTAAGTGCAACGTGTTAAAAAATAAAAACAAATTTAACAATAAAATTTAAACATCCACGAATCATTCTCACCAAAAATATTATTGCCAATTAAATTATCACAAAACAAAATTAAAAAAAAAAAACCCTATAACCCCATAAACCATAAACTAAAACCCTAAATTTCCCACTATGATTAACATCAAAACAACACAAACCCAAAAAAAATAAAAATCTAAATTAAAATAATAAAATAATAAAAAAGGAATCTTTTACTAGCTCCAGAAATATCTCACCGTTCTTCCATCGATGGTGTGCTTATCCTGAAGAACGCGATCAAGAATGGAGAGATCTGCAAAAACCACAAACCCAAACCCTCTGGGTCTCCCAGTGGTTTTCTCTCTCATAACAACGGTCTGCAGAACGTCTCCGTATTGGGAAAAGTAATCCTTTAACCTTTCCTCGCTTGTCTCCCATGAAATCCCACCAATGAACAGCTTGCCTTGATCCGAATCCATGAATTTATGGATGTTTTTGTTTGTGGGTTTTGGGGTCAGTGAAGAGAGAGAAGGATTTGAAATTGTGGGCGACTGAGAGAGAGAGAGAGAGATTATGGCGAACAAGTATAGAGGGAAGTAGAGTTATGAGATTTGGAGGGTTGGGATTTCGTTTGGGTTAAAATGGAGGGTGGAGATTGAATTTGATTTGGGGGTTGTAAGGAGTTGTGTGTGGACTGGGGTGGACACTTTGCCTGTGAATAAGACACAGTCTTAGTCGAGGAAAAATATGTATTTACTGTAGATTTTTTTAATCACGTGATCTGCATGTGATGGGTATTTTTTTTTTTTTTTAATTTTTTTTTTTAAATTAAAAGGAAATATAGAATAGAAATCATGGAAGAAATTGATTTAATTATATGGTAAATGTCAATAAAGTTTACAGCAGTCAATTTGAATACAACATTTTTATTTAAAAAAAGAAAATTGGAAGGAGATTGAGCATAGTAATCTAAATAAGAATCCCAAAAATAGATTTTTGTTCATTAAAATTTAAATGAATTTACCTATTAAAATCTAAATTCCAAAACAATAAAATTCAATTTGTTTTTTTTTTGGTGGTAATTTAGAATAAAGAAAAAGTCAATTATCTCCCTAGAGTTTATAAAGTGTCATTCAATACAAGTGGATAATATAAAACGTAAAACTTATTCTATAAAAACATCTCCAAATAACTTTTTATATGATTTAAACTCTTTATTATAAAGAGTTTGTCCATAAAAATAAGAGTCTAATAGACTCTTTATTCTTTAAATATAAATTAAAAAGTGAGTTTGACTTTTTACATGTAGAGAGTCAAATTTCACTCACTATCCCTATTTTATTTAATAAATTATAAATTTCTATATATTTTATTATTAATTTTCTCTCTTATTAAATCTTTCTCATATTTATTAAGTTTAACTTAAAAAATCTATTGGATTTAAATATAAGTTTTATTCTTTATATTTAGAAATGAATGAAGATGCCCTTTATTCAAGTGAAATATGCACTTTAAAATAAAAAGTGAATATTCTCTAAATGGGTTAGGACTTAGGAATTTGAATTTTGATTTGAAAATTCAATGCAGTTTTTTAATCTCTTATTTAAATAAATTAATAATTAAAGACCTAAAGTCAACAAGTGACATTTAATGTTACCAACTCACCAACATTATTCACAAATATTAAATCAACTTAAAACTAGAGATGCTACCCAAACCAAACCAAACCAAATAATTTCCGGTTGAAAAATTTAGACCCAAACCAACTCATGAAAATTATAGACCTATCGAACCAAACCAAATTAAACCGGTTTGGTACTTTGATATATAGTCAACAGAAATACACAAAAAAAAAAAAAGAAGAAAAAATTGTAGTCGTAATTATATCAATAATTTCATAATACGATAAAGTGAGAGATAAAAAAAAATATATTAGACAACAAATTCATTTAAAATGGGGTGTTTTACATGAATTCCAAACTTCTACTCTCTAACGTTTGGATCGGCTTTGGTTCTCTATAAGGAAACCCGAACCAAACCAAAATTATTTCGAGTCTAAGCTTTTTAGACCCAATTAACCCAAAAATCTTCATAGAATCAAACCAAACTGCACGGTTTGATTTGGTTCAATTCGAGTTTTCGGGTTTTGAGGATTTTTGAACACCTGTACTTAATGTTATATAATCATTTATTGGGAGGATTTTTACTTTTTACATACTCCTTATTTTGATATTGTCTCACATGAGTATCTATTTCCTCTTAGCCATTTGTTACAACTAGAGATATCATTGTACTTTCAGCTGTAAGATTGAACAAAAGACCTAAACCCTAGAGGAAATAAAAAATATTCTCTAAAGTTTCAATAAATTAAAAAAACTACCCAATTTTAAATAAGAATTTTGCTCCAATTATCAGTGCTCTATTCGAGTTTTCAGTGTTTAATTTAAGCAGTAAAGAGAAATTTCAATGGAATAGAAATGGCTATTGTTATTATTTTAGATTGTTGAGGAGGAACATGTAATTTAGTGACAGTTCAGGGGGGAATAGAAAAGCCGCAATGGCAAAGCAGAAACAAGATCTAGGAGACAAAGTTGAAAGCTGTTATTGTTTCTTCTGTTTAAATAAACTCGTGCACCCACCACTTCCATTATCATTAAGACTCCAACGTTCCTTTTTTCAAAAACCGTTGGAGCCCAAATCCATTTTTAAAACCCAAACTCTTATTTTACATCTCTGTCTTTCAACCTACATTCCTGTCATGTTCAACAACACCCTGTAACCCTCCATTTTCACCATTACCAAAGCCTTTTAATGGGGTGTTTTCTCGGCTGTTTTGGTTTTTCTTCCAAAAGAAAACGTCGAAAACCGGCCAATAAAGTGTTACCTGGAGACCCAGTATGCTCATTTTCAAGCTCTTGATTTGCTTAATTTTGTAAGGTTTGATGCTTTATTTGTTTTCTTGTTGAGCACTATTGTTTTTTTTGCAGAGACATGGCAGTTATGAGCCTCTGGATTCATCAGTTTCTACTCATTTTGACATTACAGAGAACCCCGCAAGCTCAGATTCTCAGCTCAGGTCAGTGTCAGTCTTGGGCTCGGTTTTGTTTATTTGAAGTCATAATCCTTCATTTTTTTTGTTTGAATGTTGATTTGGTTGCAGCAATAGGATCAAAATTGGGAAGAAGGTAAGCTTTAATCTGAATGTTCAAACTTATGAGCCACTTTCAAAAGAAGAAACTGTATATCATTTGCCCGAGAGCCATGGAGAGGAAGAAAAAGAAAAGAGTGGTGCAGAAACAGCGAAAGGGAGCTTATTTTCTGTTTCTGAAGGGAATTCGACTGCTGCCAAAACGGGTTCATTTCCTCCGAATTATAGATACCAAAAATTGACAGACAGCTATGAAGATGAAGATGATTTTGAATACAATGAAAGTGATTTGGATTTTGATGATGACTATGAGGGTGAGGAAGAGAATGAAGAAGAGTATTATGATGATGATGATGAGGGTGAGGGTGAGGAAGAGGAAGAGAATGAAGAAGCGTATTATGATGCTGAAAATGAAGATGTTGGTGGGGTTGCAATTGACATTGATGATCAAAGAGTAACCAAAAGTGAGTTCTTGAAGCAACTAAACTCACAACCTGAAGAATTGTCTCAAGGAATTTCTTGGATTCATTCAGCTGAGGACAAAAGCAACAACCATATTCAACTGCCTGGTTCAATAGATGGAGAACTCAAATCAATCGATTTGAAAAGAAACGCTCGGGACAGGAGCCAGTTTGTAAATTCTGTACTGAATCCAGTAGAGAATCTCACCCAATGGAAAGCAGTCAAAGCAAGAGCAGCAGCACCTAAGCACCTGAGGAAGGAGAATAATGCATTACAGCAAGAACCACAAACACCCTTTGATTTCAAGAAAGGTTCCAATATGTATCCTTCCAGTTTAGGACAAAATCACAGTCAATCAGAGGCTTTAGTGCAAGAGATTGCAGTTAACGCAAGCCTTTCAAACTGGTTGGCCTCGCAAAATCCTAACGAATCCAAGGCCACAGGCATCATCAACAATAGCAGCATTTCTGTTGAGAACATTCCACCAAAGAGAAGCATGTTTGATAGATCATGTTTACAGGAAAGCAGAGAAGACACACCAATTTTAGACATCACCAACTTGAAGGCCTAATTGTTAGGTGCAAATATACGAAAAAAACTTATGGATACAAGCACAAGGATGCTGCGAAACACATTGTCAAAACCAAGAAGCAAACACAGGAAATTCTGAGAATAGAAGTGCAGCCAAAGTTGCTCCTATTAATCTTCCTAGTCTATTCAAGTGTGAAACAATATGGAGTGTTGTTGTTTTTTATGTTTCTGATTCTTTTATTGTATTCTGACTGTATTCATAACCATAATGATTCTGGATAATTTTGTGCTGCTGAGTGCTGATAAAGTGGCTTTGATTGTTTGTTGTATGCCTTACTGTTTGCATAAAGGTTCCATAATATACTGTTACTGTATAATGTAGGAGAACTATTTGATTCCACTATTTGATAGTTTGTTGCTGTGCTTCTGTAAGTTTCTCTTTCTCCTGATGATTTATTACAATTAAATCAGGGTAAATTATGGATTCCACTTAATGAGAGTATCTGCTTCTCCACTGTTACAACATAGAACTAATAAATGACAGCAGAAACAGAAGCCTGAATATGAAATTTTCTAGATGTCACAACACATAACTACTTCCGATTAACAAGTCATCCTAGTGATGAATAAGAACAGGGGTAGGTGACAACTCATACTCCTTATGACAAATCATGAAGAATATGGTGAAAATATGCTTCAATAATGGGGTATATGATAAGAGACAATGGACCACCAAATCAATTCATCATGCACAATACTTGATTTTCCAACAGTTTTAAACCAAAAAATCATTCAAGTCAAACAAATTTCTGATTGGAAGAATTTCCGGATTTGGTATAAAAATAGCCACCAGAAGCTTTATTCTTCTAAAAATCCATCACTATGTAGAAACTCAAGCTGGCTCACAAAGACTAGTCAAAAGTGTAATGCAGCTAGCAAGCTATCAAGGAAAAAGAAGTGAACAGAATTGAAGTGCGTACTATTTCGTTTACACAGTAATCATATCTCTTCAGTGTTTCAATCCACACATCAATATATGTGGCAAAAACATAAAAACCTCAGTTGTACTATATATATAACATTTCACGGAAGCATGTTTGTTATAATCACAAATATCTGCAGCTGCTTTTACGGAAGTTCCAAAAACCCAGATAAGGAATTTAAATGACTCCAAGATGTCAATAAACATGAGAAAGTCAGAGAATGCCTTGCTAGTCTTCTGGACCTTTGGTCCATCCTAATAACAGCAAGCGTGGAAAAAGGCCAATTTGCACCAAAATCAGGTTTTGCAGAGAAAACCTCATTAATTCATCCACCAATCCTGTAATTTGGTTCACTAAATGGTATCTACATTATGGTACAGATACAAGAATCTGAATCCTCATCTTCAGAGTCACTTGCTTCACTGCAGGCAAAAGCAGGGAAATGGGTAGTGAGAGATCTAACAGTAAGCTGTGAAAAATAGACAAAAGATTAGCAACGCCCAAGTACATCTTTCCTATAACTAAGATCATTCTCATCCAGGGGCGGATCCATGGCCCACCCCCAAATTTTTTTTTTTTTAAAATACTAACATATATAATTTCTGGATTTTGGCCCATCCTAACAAAAAATATTAATGGACAAAAATATTAATGTGTAATTAGTTTTTATTTTGACCCACCCTAACAAAAATTTTTGGATCCGCTACTGTTCTCATCAATGAAGATATTCTTTTCTCATTTGAACAGTTACAAAATGAATGAATACTGATTAAACTTATGTCTTAAAATTAAAAAAGATGTTGAAGGATTTGAAAAGTCTATTAATTCTAATCAAATATTGAAGGTTTTGTTGAAGAAAGGATTTTTACCCATTAACATTCCACGACGTCTTTTTCACATTATCATAACATGTCAAGAGATAATGGGATACTAACATTTACAGCGTATCGAAAAAAGTGAATAAAGGAATTGAACAAATTTTTAGTCTATATTTTCATTAAGTGTGTCACCAATTCCTTCAACACAGACACACAGAAAACCTAATCTATCCAGGAAGCCGAAAAGAAACCAGAACTTTGAGCAATGGGTAGCAATGAATAAATATGAACTTAATGCTGACAGGGTATTGCCATCATCAGATGGTAGCATCTATGTAAAAACAAGAAGTTAAGAGGTTACAATTATTCCAGAGCATGAGCCTCAATGAATCTTCCAAGGAGAAGGGCCCTAAAACAGCAGGCAGAGCCTAGAAGATCAAACACAGTATGCATAACCTGGCCACAAAAAGAGTCTCCCAAGTTTGGGCCTATTCAAATGTCTTACACTTAATTTAGATATATGGGCTAAGATAATGGTTTACAGTTATTCAGATCACAAAAAATTAGCACGCCATGCAAACTTGGGGCTGTCCAACCCATATATGGCTCGAAAATGAATAGATAGAGCGGCACATAATATTAACTCAATAAAGACACGCATCATTTGATCAATTTAGTATACTATACAAAGCTTTTTCAACCAAGAAGTTTGCCCACTGCATCTGATCAAAAGTCAAACCTTCATTTGTTTATAAAATATATAAGCCTTTATTTATTTATTGAAATTCATCCTGTTCTGGGTAAATAACTTTTATGACAGGCTACAGTTAACAAAGGCAATTGTAAACAACTTACTGTTTCAATGTAGAGTTATTTCAACCAAGGTATAATACAAATAAGATAACCATCAGGAATATTTTATCAAGACATTATAACACATGTATCCTTACAATAAATAAATATTACCCTGTCTGCCAAGTCATGAAAGCAGTCTATATATCAGATGCTTAATCCATCAAACTACAATGGTTAGGTACTCCTTGGAGTAAAGTAAAAATTAACTATATTTGTATAAAAGTTGAAGGTTTAAAGTTTAAACCATAAATGTTACAACATCATTCTTCGTCTTTTATTAAGTTAATGAATGATTGCATTGCCTTGTTTCCAAGAATTTCACATAATCAGACTCCACAAGTCATTCACCAGATTAGAATATGTTTAATGTAACCGGGAATCGAGGCATTTTACTTTTCCTTCTGGGTCTTTTTTTTTTTCATAGGCTTCTTTTGGGGCTATCTAACCAGGACATAACTGACAAAAGGTAATCTAATGATAAACATCACAATGCAATACTATGCGGTGAGGTCTTCAAGCTTCTAATCCAAAATACTTAAGTCCACTGACTGTGATATAAAATGAGAGGTAATGAGTTTTAGGTCAATCAATATTACTAGCTCTAGCTTCCCTATCTATTATCCTAAAACTGGTATGGTATTTCTCTTAACTGAAATACCAGAAAGCAAGAATACCTTGCAGCTCAAATAGTAGAAGTCCAGCTCTCTACCCACTTGAAACAATACTCTAGTTGGCTATTAACTATTCAGCAACCGCTGAGAATTTAACACAATCAAGCAAGTGGTTGCCCACAACCATTACAACAATCACAAATCAGCCAAGCTAAAGTGAAGTTATCAAAGAAATTGACTTGCCCATGAACTACAGTGCTTTCATCTCAAAATTGATCCTGCTACAGAATCTCATTCTTCACACACTAGTTTTGACCATTTTTAATGATTGGTGCAACATTTTTCTTGATTTGAAGGCATACAACCAAATGCCTCCTCAAAGAGACAGTTAATCAGCTAAGCTGAGAGCATGTAATATACACTTATCATAATAAGTTCGAAAAACAGGAAACTCAAATCTCAAACTAGTTAGCCAAATAACACAACATAGAAGAAGCCAAAACATACGGAATAACATAAAATTATAAACAAGATCAAATCATTTCAAATAGCTTAGGAACATGAAGCAACTAAACACCATCTTTCTGAAACTTCAACCACAACCATGCATAAATAACCAAATGATTTATGTATATTACCTCGGTTCAAATTCTAACACCTCCACAAGCTTATTCCCGTTCTTATCATTCCACTGCACTTTTCTTCGTGTTTTTTCGCATTGCCTTGACATCCCACCTCTCCTGGGAGGCAACAAAGAATTTGATTCACTCTCTTCTCCATCATCAGTATGATTCTCAACCTTTTCGGAGTCTAGCATATCTAAAGGCATTTTTTTGCACCCATTAACATCCTTAACATCAACAAGGACCGTCTCCATAGACAATCACACACCAGTTTATTAAATACAAGACTCAAAAACTCAATCTGTTGATCAATCGACTGATTAAAAGGTTAAAAGTACCAAATACAGGGATTACACAGAAATCTCATTTATCTGCTTACCTACAAATCATAAATTCACAAATCCTACCTCAAAATTTTTAAAAATTTTAGAACAACCCACAACACATAAGACCAAAATCTTTCATTCAGTTTCAGATAAAACACATTTAGAAATCATTATCAAACTAAAAACACAAAGAACGGCAGTAATTTTTGAGAAAACCCCATTTCCCCCGATGTCGGATAATCAAGAATTCACAAACCCTAGTTCCCGAATTCGAGATTATGAACTAAATTCAGCTGTAAACCGAATAAATACCATACCACAAACAAAGTCAACGCTCATTGTTGACACGATCAACCTTTAAAAAAATACAATTCAACCATCAAAGAGAGAAAAAAAAAATCTTAAAAATAACATGAACCCCTAACATTGAAAGAGACTTAAATAATTAAAAATTACTTCAACCAAAAATCATTCCCAGAAAATGAAAGAAAATTTTTCAAAATGTCAAAAAGCAAATAAATTTACATATTTTAGAAACCAACTGAAAAAATGTCGCAATAAATAGTTTTAAAAACAAAGAAAAAAAGAAACAAGATTCGAGGGATAAGAGAGATGAGATAAATAAAAAATAAAACGGATAAGAATTAGTGGCGAACAACGAAGAGTGTTTAGTTTTGACAATTAAAAGAGCTGAATTTATATTTTATATATATATATATATACCCATATATATATATACCCATATATATAGGGTAGTTAGTTGGTTGTGAATTGTGATCAACGGCTGTGATTTTGTGTGAAAGTTGAGATGTGGGCTGTTACTGGAGGCAGTCGGCGCACGGTAGTTAAGGTCGTTAAAATAACGGGGTTGATGATGTGGTGGATTCGGATGGGGTGTAGTGTATGATTAGGGCTACGGTGTATTATTGGTTGATGCGATGTCAGTTTGTGGAGCTGATTTGACAGGAGTTTAGTGTTACGAACGGGATTCTTGTAATTGGTTAATCATGGTGATAGATAAGATAATGACATAAAATATGACTAAACACTTTTTCCCACCCAAGGTTTGCCTTAATGACTTTTTTCACCAAAAGTTTATATTATGTTAAAACCCAAAATACACTTTACTTTCTTTTTCACCAAAAGTTTATATTATGTTAAAACCCAAAATATACTTTACTTTCTTAATTGATATTCGGCAAGTTACCATGAGCTAGGGTTAGAGAAATTTTGTAGAGTGGAGGCTGGTGGATCTAATGGTGATGACTAATTAAATATTTGTCGTTGAAAATTAGTTAAGAATAGGAAACTCAAAATTTGCTGTGATCAATAATTGACAAGAAATTAGGTGTCAGAATAAGAGGAGTTTTGTAGAGAAGGGACCAAAGGTTCAAATGGTGGTGAGAAAGAGAATTTTTGCCATCAGAATCGGTCGAAATAAGCTTTGAGTAATAACAAAATATTAACTTTGGGTGAGAAGTGATATTTTGAAACTTTTTAGGTGGCAAACCTTGGGTAGGAAAAAGTCGTTTACTCCATAAAATATAGTAAGAAAATCAAACTTATTGTTATTTAATGAAGATTAAGTTGATATTAATTAAATTATATTTGAATTAATTGCTAAACGCTTAACCTTAGACTTTAATGAGCCATGTTATATCAAGATCTCAAACTTTTTATAAAAAATTGGAATAATTATAGTTTATTTGTTTTCTTTTGTTGATGTTTAATGTGTTAAAGTTGTTATGTTTATAGAATATAAGCATTTAAAAATAATTTTAAAAAATCAAAGTAAAGAAAATGTCAATTTAATATCTTTTTTCTTTAAATTATAATAAAGATAATAGCCGTGATAAATAAACATTTAAAATTAAGTCTAATAAAAATTTAATAAGAAATAAATGAAACATGATAAATGAAAATATAACATTTTTTGTACGTGAAGTATAATGTGGACAAGGGGAATATGTAGCAGAGTAAGAGGACCTACTTATTATTTTGTTAATATTGACAAATTCAAGGTTATTATTAATTTTCTCGCAGAAATTATTTTTTGTTTTTGCTATTATATTGCTTTATGCTTTATAATAATTTAATTTTACAGATTTATGACACTTTGTCTACCCATGTTTCAACACGTGTTTTAATCATAATTCATGAATTTTAAAAACATATCTTTTTTTTTTTTTAATTACTCATACGCATGTAAAATTATTCAAATATAACTCGTTTTTATTGTTTTTGAGTGATTTTATAGTTATTTAATTAATTAGAGATATTATATTGAATAATATATTTTATTGGGAGTTGAGAGATAACTTATTGTGAAATTCTCTTGAGAAATAGTTATATTTCAAATTTTCAATACCAATTAAATCAAATTACTCCTTTTTTACAAAAAAACCGGGTATTGATATTTTGGAATAGGAATAGTTCGCAGGATATTTTTTGAAACTGATTATTATCAATTGGTCCCGAAAATTGATTGTTTAATATAATATCTAATTAATTATTTAAATAAAAATTATTCAACCGACAAAAACGATAGTAAACTTCAAATTATATTCATTACATTTTAACTTATTCCTATATCGTCCTTTGGTGGACAAAATGAGTTAAAGAGGGTATGTTTATGTGAGTTTATAAGCTAATCAAACTAGTTTATAAGTTGGTCAAAACTTTAAAATTAAATTGATTTGTTTGTTTATAATTGAGGGAAGTTACTTTTTTTTTTTTTTTTTTTGCTACTTTGACAAAGTATATTACCTATTTTTAATTTTAAAATTTCATCGTATATCCTTATTTTTAATAATGTAACACTATTTTTAGTTATTTTAATAATAAATGTACTTATAAATCATATTCTACTAAACATGTCAACTACTTGTCAGTTACTTATAAGTATTTTAATCAAACACGTAACTATTTAAATTTTAAATATTTATAAGCTTAAATTAGCTTATAAACAGAAAACTAGCTATTTATAAGCTAATTTTTATAACCTCAATCAAACCGGTTCTTAGAAGTATGAAAAAATGAAAGTGAGTGAAGGAGACAAAAAAAAATAAAAAATAAAAAATTTGTAAGTTGGAATAGTATACATGATTTTTTCTTTACTTTTTATTAGATTTTGTTCAGAAAGTTGACTTTATTATTTCAATAATTGCATGATTAGTCCAAAATAATGAGAATAATCATTATTACAAGGAGTATCTAGCTGGACAAAAACATTCGCCGAGTCCAGGACATTATTTATGCCCTATCCAATCCAAAACACACGTTTATTTTTCTATCTTGAAAATTTAATTCTATTTTGTTCAATTATTTTAAACACCATAGGTTTGTTAAGTTAACTAAATATCCTTAAAAATTAAAGTTTAAAAATTGATATAAAAACACCTCCACCCACTCACAATTGCCAGATTCCCGTCACTATCGCCGGAAAATGGTCAGAATATGGCGTAATTGTGCACTACTGGCTGATAGTGCGCCAATCTAACATTTTCTTGCTAGATCCACCGTGGATCTCATCAGAAAATGTCAAATCTATGGCCAAAGATCTGCCTATTAACGACCAGATCTTTTGCCGTAACTGGTCGTCAATGATGGTCAAGATATGACCGTCGTTGACTATCAACGACAACCATATCTTTGGCCATCGTTGACAACCAAACGTGGCCAGATTTGGCTTTTTCAGCCAGATCCATGATAGATTTGGTCAAAAAAGGCCATATCAATACACAACCAACCAGATCTAGTCGGTCGTGTGTCATTACGGCGACTGTCGGCCACCCTCCGGCGGTGGTGACCAACATATAATGGGTGGGTGAGGGTATATTTGTTAATTTTTGATGTTTTATTGTAGGGGTGTTTAGCTAAATTAACAAATTAAGGGGTATTTTTGTTAATTTTCAAATTATCTCGTTATGACTTATGACCACTCAACTCAACTTTTTCAAAAATCCTACCAAAACTAATAAAATAAACATACTCGTTAACATCTGCATCTAAAGTTGAAGTGAGTAAAATTTTCATCGTTTGCGAGGAAATGTGAATGATGATGATAATCTGGTCTAATGGTCGAGCAGGAGAGGAAATTGTTAACAAATTAAAGTTTAGTTTGGGATTTTTGTTGCTCTTCTCATCAAGGTTTTAAAACCCAGACCAGGCCGATCGGTTTAACTGGGACTCGAGGGCTTCACTGGCCCAGATTACAAAATTCAACTATTCCCAAAATCCCTACCTGACCACAGGCGAACGAGAGGCTACCAAGTGTCGGATTTAGAGTGTTTTTGTTGAGTGGTGGTTGGTGGTTCGAGTGGTGATGTCGGCAATTTATTTGATGATGCCAACGGTTTTACCATATCGACTCGCATTATATTGTAGCGAGTTGAAAAGTTTTGAAGAAATTTTGCCAGACTTTTGCCGCAAATCATCACGTTATTTAAATAAACTGTCAGTACTATCGCATAGATCGCTGATCGATGATTCCAATAGTGTTGAAGGTGTAATTACACTTGTCGAAATTGAGCCAGTGACTCCGTCGGCCAATTTATATGTTTTATGTTTTTAATATTTTTTTTATTATTTTCATAATCTAATTTTAAAATTTATTTATACAAAAATTAGAATTTATATTTAATAGAATTAGAATTTATGTTTAATTTTGAGGCATTTCGGTAATTGACTTTCCTAAAAGGTGATTTTGAATTTTAAAAGTTAGAAATACCTACCTTTGAAATCCTTCAATAAAATAGATTACGAAAGAAGTATATTCTCATAGTCACTTTTGAAATGCGTTTATGGGGGTGTTTGTCTAAGCTTATAAGCTGGTCAAACTTGCTTATAAGCTCTAAAATTAAGCTGACCTGTTTGTTTATAATTTTTTTGAGCTTATAAGTTGAGCTTATAAGCTAAAAAAAATAAGTTGGGGGGGAGGTACTTTTTTTTTTTAGCTTATAAGCACTTTGCTTATAAGCTAGTTTGACCAAGTATATTACCAAGATCCTTATTTATTTTAAAATTCATAGTATGCCATTGTTTAATGTAGTACATTTTTAGTAATTTATAATAAAATGTACTTATAAGCCATTTTACCAAACACCTTAATTACTTATCAGTCACTTATAAGTACTTTAATCAAATACGTAATTGTTTAAAATTTCAAATGTTATAAGTTAATTTTAACTTATAAGCAATTGTTGCTTATAAGCTAATTTTCATAAGCTCAGACAACACCCCCTATATCGAACACATTTTGGATCATACTTAATAAATAAGTGATTACGAGAGAAGCTATAACAAGCGTAAACTCACCCTAAGTTTTGTTGAGAATGTAAAGAATAATGAGTTTTGTTGGCAGTGGCTTTTGAGGAGTTCTTAGATAGAAGAAGCCAATTGAAGAACAATTTCTCAGAGGAAAAGGCTAAAATGACAGACTCAGGATTATATGAAACTAAGGTACGGCTGAAGTTAAGGGAAAACTAATAGATGTTAATTAGTTAAATTTTTTTTTTTTTTTTTAAACTAATAGTTACGTATAATTAAAATAAGAGACTTATATTGGCTTCGTTGGGTCAAGATTGGGAATACTAAGAGTAGTATTCCCAAAAAAGTTAAACAGTAAAATACCTAAAAACTCTCATTTTTGGAACTATTTTCAATATTATTCAATTTTTAAACCTCTAAATTTGTAATTCAATTAAATACCCCTAAATATTTTTTTAAAATTACAAAATCACCCAACATCCACATTTACCAGATTTCGGCTAACACCGCCGGAAAATGGTCGGAATCTGATAGGATGGCACACTACCGGCTAAATCTGGTCGGTAGTGCACCGATCTAGCCTTTTCCGGCCAGATCCACGGTGGACTGGCCGGAAAAGGCCAGATCTAAGGCCAAAGATCTGGCCGTTGATGGCCAGATCTTTGGCCGTAACAGTCGGTCACGACGGCAACAAACGGTCGTCGTTGACCATCAACGACGACGTGTAGTTGGCCGGTTGAGAGCAAATCGGCTAGATCTGGCCTTGCGGCCAGATCCACCGGGATCTGGCCAGAAAAGGCCATTCGACGCATGACCGGCAAGATCCAGCCTGTCATGCGCCGATAAGGCGACTCGGACACTCCGGTGGTGGTGGCCAGCTGGGGGTGTTTGAGGGTGGGTTGGGGGTGTTTTTGTTAACTTTTAATGTTTTATATATGGGGTATTTTGTAAAAACAAACATAAGGGGCATTTATTAATTTATAAATCCTACATCGTAATACCCGCCCAATTCAACTTTTTTTTAACTTTTTCAAAAAACTTTTCCCAAAACCCCACATTTTAAACCAAACGAAGCCATTGAGATTCACCGGGGCTTAAATACACAACTCTTTTAAAATTATTAATAATACAACTTAAAGAAAAAAAAAAAAAAAAAACTAAAAAAAGACTGGGAGTTGTCAAATTCACTTCACGTTGGCCCACAACAGCCTAACACAGTTAAATATAAACATGGATTTTTAATTTCACATAATATCATTATTATATATAAGGTGTTTTAAGTGTGCCCTACGTTAAAAAAAAAAAAAAAAAAAAAAAAAAAAAAAAAAAAAAAACCAGTTTACAATTTACAAAGCATTGGAAATTCTGAAATAAAAATGTAAAAAGAAGAGAATATGGAGAAATGAAATGATGGATTTAACGTAATTTAGAAACAAGTGAGCAGTAAGTGAAAGGTGAGTAGGTACTTGCTTCCAAGCAAAGGGAGAGCGACCTTCACAATAGACATGATTGCAACAAACTTTGCACTCACATTTCATTGCGTTACTTTTGTTTTTATTCACTTCCAAACTACCAGTTATTGCATGATTTTTTTTCCAGAATGGCTTGCTTTGAAAGAGCTTCTCCATCTCTCAAGAACATCCTGCTCCAACTCTACCGGTAAGCTCTTTTAAACAAGGCTTAATTACACTTCCTGCAACTGCTTATTTTTGCTATATATAACCACTGTTTTACAGTTTAGAGAAACCTGCTTTCCTGTACTAGGCTAGACATGGTGATGAGTTCTATTCATCTCATCATCAGAGCACAAGAGAGATTCTTGCATGCATCAATGAGGGGAGACATGCGTGTCACACTCGCAAATGTAGCGTTTTTCTCAGTAGTCGAATGCACATTCATCTTATGCACGCAGGCAAGAAATTTCCTGTAATCAATTATACAGCCTTAGAAAACGGTCAAAGATAGATATGATTTAAGAAGATTAAGTAGGAAGGTGTAGAGAGCCAAATGGAGGAGCTGTAGATAGTGTGCTTGATAAATGAGTGGCGCACTGATTATGAAGATTTAATTTCCAAGTAGACAAGCAGTGTGCAAATTGAAATGATATGACCTGCAACAATTTTATTGGTGGGACAAGCAGTGTGCTAATTGTATTCTTAGCATATTTGGTAATAACACCAATCCACATGCAAGGCAAACAACTGTGAGTGAACCCAAATTCAGCAAGTGGAAAACACAAATCTAAAAATCTTGGTATGTTCTATCTTTTGGTTCTGTTAAGAGGGCAGGGCACCATTTAAGTCTATGTCACACTTCAGCTTTTCAACCTAAATTAGCACATCATAGAAAGACAAGAGTACCCACTAGCTTTAGCTGCTAATATCTTTGTTGGTATCAAATCCTGCTCAGATTTCTGTCACAGAGTGAATGCAGCAGATGCGTAATCAAATGGCAAGATAACTGTAATACTACAAATCTGACTTGTTGAATGATTAGTGGCTTTGGTTGAAATTAAACTATGCAGATAAGAGTATATTTATACTAGCTAAGAAGATAAAATATTATAGTAATATTGAACAAAATTTTGATCTGATTATTAGTATTGTTCCTTTCATGACAGTGCTGAAAAAGCCATAGAGATTGATCATCACTTGCATGAATTTGGGTCTGTGGAATACCACATTCAGGTAAACTTTCTACAATGTTGTAGTTTGAATTTCAAATATCAGCAATTAAATCATCTATACAATGCATTTACATTTTCTACGTCATTTACCAAGAAACAAATGATGCCTTAGTCAAAAGACTTATCAAGCAATTAGTCCATCATGCATTATCAGAGGTGATTTAGAAAACATGGTTAGACATTCACAACTAGAGTTAGCACCAAAAAAAAAAAAAAAAAAAAAAAAGGAAATTAGTAGTGATTAGTCGGACTGATTCTTGAAAGGAGTCATGAAACCAGTACATTTATAATATCATTAGCAAGGCTTTCTAAAATTATTAAGATCTGTTTGTATAAAAAACTTTCACATCAGTAGAGGACAAAGCTATTGGGATAAACATAGTACTCATATGTGTAACCTAGAAACTATATAGACATTCAAACAAAGGATAAGATGATTACTCAGCTGATTGCCTGATAATGTTTAACAGTCTTCGGTGTCAGATCCACGACATGCCTACTTGTCAATATCAACTCCATTTCTGTCCCAAAGAGACTTGTTATCTTATGGGCTTTCATATTACACAATGGAGATGGTGAAGGGAATTGCTACTGATGTTGTGGAGATTGTTGAACCTGCAAAAGAGGGTTACCAGCTTACTCTAAGACTCAACTTCGCTAAGATTCCATGTGGTAAAGGTCTGGCAATCCTTCACACTATCTAAATGATATTTAACTAGCTGGTCCTTCATACTAACTAATTGTAGTACTGTGTTTTTAGAATAATGACTATGAGTCTTGAATCTAAGAAAACTTGGGTTTTCTAGTGATACAATAACAAATCATCACATCTGATACGAGAAAAAAATGAAAAAAAAAAATTAAGAACACAACAGTTAATTCGATTTACACAATGACTGCTCATAGGATCCTATGGTTTTCAGCTCATTTTTTATTTTCTTGTTTCTTGAAAGGGTTGGAATGAACTAAGCATCTTTTTTCTAATTTCAATTCATTTTTTTCCTTTCTTCTCTCATCTCAATAAAAAAATGTAGCATTTGAATGTTATGACCACATTCACACAACTCCACAAGGCATGTGACTATAGCATTCAAGTAGGTTAGCCGCAGATAAAAACATATAAAAAAGAACTAGCCATGCGAGTAATTAAGAATCTACCAGATAACATTGAGATTCACTTAAGACAAAAAAATTAAAAAAATAAAAAAGGGAAGAAAAACAAAGAAAGAAAAGTAAAAGCATGGTTTAAAATCAATTATCAAATTGTGAAGTCAAGGAAAAACACTAGTGTATGACATACCCTGAAAGAAAATAACAGCGCAAAACAAAATTTTCCTTGTGGTGCCTGCCATATGAATCAAGTAAAAATGCATAGCACCAACATAAACGTACTTTGAATGATAGATTCACACACATGCCATATGACTATGCCAATATACAGGTAACAGCATCCAGGAATCGTAAAATTAATCTAGTGAATGAATTCCATAGATAGAGATAGAGGGAAGCAAAAATAACTTGGCATTAGTTGCATCAAGAATTTTATACAAAACAAAATTCATATCAGGAGATTTGCTGCGTGATATCATAATCTTGAAGCAAATAATTCAATAAAATAATTTTCACCGAATAATTTCCTATTGAGGATGAATGAAAGGTTAAATAAAAACACATAATAGAAGATGAACTATAATGCCCAATTAGATCAATAAAATTCCAAAACTTCCTTATATTTATAATCAAATTGATCCCTTTGTTCATGTTCCAGATTCTGTGAAGGTAATAACAGATATTTCCACTGTTCAAGCAACAATACTAAGTTCTCAGCTGAAAGAAATGTTGTGGAATGTCAACTCTGGAGCTGCATCTCAGGGGATTTACCAACCAATCAAAATCACGTATCACCCTAGGGAACCTTTCTATGTCATCAAACAGGTAAGCTCCACAACTAAACTAATCTACTTAAATTTTAGTGAGAATTAATATGCAAGAGAACCACTGATTTAAATTCAAGTAAGCCAACATTCCAAGTAATCATATAACAAACCGTAATTTGCTTACACAAACTCAAAAATGAAGTTATACTGTAAATCCAAACTGGAAGTTTATAATGGAAGTAATTTCCAACTACTTCAACTCTAAACTCTGCAATAAAAATAAATTTGCCAACTTCATGCAGCCTACATTATAAAAAGATTTCATGTTTCCTTCCAATTCAAGTCATTTCAAATATTTGAAATTCCAGTTTATTTAAATTTNCTGATGTTGTGGAGATTGTTGAACCTGCAAAAGAGGGTTACCAGCTTACTCTAAGACTCAACTTCGCTAAGATTCCATGTGGTAAAGGTCTGGCAATCCTTCACACTATCTAAATGATATTTAACTAGCTGGTGCTTCATACTAACTAATTGTAGTACTGTGTTTTTAGAATAATGACTATGAGTCTTGAATCTAAGAAAACTTGGGTTTTCTAGTGATACAATAACAAATCATCACATCTGATACGAGAAAAAAATGAAAAAAAAAAATTAAGAACACAACAGTTAATTCGATTTACACAATGACTGCTCATAGGATCCTATGGTTTTCAGCTCATTTTTTATTTTCTTGTTTCTTGAAAGGGTTGGAATGAACTAAGCATCTTTTTTCTAATTTCAATTCATTTTTTTCCTTTCTTCTCTCATCTCAATAAAAAAATGTAGCATTTGAATGTTATGACCACATTCACACAACTCCACAAGGCATGTGACTATAGCATTCAAGTAGGTTAGCCGCAGATAAAAACATATAAAAAAGAACTAGCCATGCGAGTAATTAAGAATCTACCAGATAACATTGAGATTCACTTAAGACAAAAAAATTAAAAAAATAAAAAAGGGAAGAAAAACAAAGAAAGAAAAGTAAAAGCATGGTTTAAAATCAATTATCAAATTGTGAAGTCAAGGAAAAACACTAGTGTATGACATACCCTGAAAGAAAATAACAGCGCAAAACAAAATTTTCCTTGTGGTGCCTGCCATATGAATCAAGTAAAAATGCATAGCACCAACATAAACGTACTTTGAATGATAGATTCACACACATGCCATATGACTATGCCAATATACAGGTAACAGCATCCAGGAATCGTAAAATTAATCTAGTGAATGAATTCCATAGATAGAGATAGAGGGAAGCAAAAATAACTTGGCATTAGTTGCATCAAGAATTTTATACAAAACAAAATTCATATCAGGAGATTTGCTGCGTGATATCATAATCTTGAAGCAAATAATTCAATAAAATAATTTTCACCGAATAATTTCCTATTGAGGATGAATGAAAGGTTAAATAAAAACACATAATAGAAGATGAACTATAATGCCCAATTAGATCAATAAAATTCCAAAACTTCCTTATATTTATAATCAAATTGATCCCTTTGTTCATGTTCCAGATTCTGTGAAGGTAATAACAGATATTTCCACTGTTCAAGCAACAATACTAAGTTCTCAGCTGAAAGAAATGTTGTGGAATGTCAACTCTGGAGCTGCATCTCAGGGGATTTACCAACCAATCAAAATCACGTATCACCCTAGGGAACCTTTCTATGTCATCAAACAGGTAAGCTCCACAACTAAACTAATCTACTTAAATTTTAGTGAGAATTAATATGCAAGAGAACCACTGATTTAAATTCAAGTAAGCCAACATTCCAAGTAATCATATAACAAACCGTAATTTGCTTACACAAACTCAAAAATGAAGTTATACTGTAAATCCAAACTGGAAGTTTATAATGGAAGTAATTTCCAACTACTTCAACTCTAAACTCTGCAATAAAAATAAATTTGCCAACTTCATGCAGCCTACATTATAAAAAGATTTCATGTTTCCTTCCAATTCAAGTCATTTCAAATATTTGAAATTCCAGTTTATTTAAATTTCTACATATTAGCTAAACCCACCACATCCACCCAGTTCAAAGTTTTGACCAACTTAATACTACAACCATTCTTATCATATCAGATTCTGATGTATAAAAATCATACACACACACACATTACAAATTCTGGATTCTCTAAACAGGAGAACTTTATGAGTTTTGCAGCCACAAAAAATCATGGCCGTATTTCCAATGCGTTTCAAAGAACATTCAGATGTGATTATTGCAACAGCCTTCTTTCAGGTTTGTTACTAATAAAGCTTAAACATTGAAGTAAAAAAAAAATTCTTTTCCTTGGAGAGACTTAATTACTGTGTGCAGGAACTTATGGATGTGGGAAGCTCAGAAAAATGGGCAAAAGCACCTCCCTGCTGCTGGTCACCAATTCCTCCTCCAGAACTGAGGGGAGAAACTATCGAAGATTTGAGTACGAATGGAGGATTTGTCACTTTCGGTATAATCTTTTCTTTCAACATTTGATCACGTTGTGCACAGCAGCAACAAAGTATAAACTGTATCAACATCATCTTTCATGTAAAGAAAATAATAGCATAGCTATTAATCAAGACTTCAACTAGATAAACACAAATACTCAACATATATCTTTCCTCTTAAACAGCATAAAAAAATTTCACTTTGAGTCATTCTAAAATGATAAACTATACTTTGCAAGAAAGAGAAAAGAACAGCAAGAGTAACTTTTTCATATTTCTATTTGGTCTTCCGGGTTGGATGAACCTGTACCAAATAAAAGTTAAGCTCACTAACATTGGTCTGACGCTCACTAACATTGGTCTGACATGTTCACAGATATTTCTCAACATCACATTGAAGGTAAAAGATTAGACAAGACAGTGTGGAATCTACTAAACTTCTATGCTTATGTGAAATACCATGTAAAGGTAATAATTCTCATGTTTTTTCCTAATTCTATTGCTTGGAAATTTTTTCTTCGTTTTCCTTTGAATTTAAGCAATGGCCTTCTTACATCTCCAACTGACAAGAACATCAATATAGTGCACCAAAGGTTTCATACAAAGAAGGATGAGAAAGCGTCTGGAAAGTTTGGTTGAGGTACCTAACTAAACCTTAAAAACTATAGCAGAATCATTTCCTACTATATACAAGCAGTTATATTTTAAAACTTAAAACCATAGTTTTGTCTTTATGTTTGCTTTCAAATCGAAAGGTTATTTGGAAGTAAACCTACTAAACAAACTTGCAGAAACAAGTGAACCCTAAGGAAATCACTCACAGGCCCCAAGCTTGCAGCAAGACTTGAACAAGACTGAAATACTAATTTCTTTTATTCAATTTGCAGATTCTGCAGAAAGCAAACTTACCAGAAGAAGAACATACTGGAAGGGCTGGAAGGGTTAAAGGTAAAAATAATTCAATAGACTAAACGTAAATAATTAGGATACTCATTCAAATGACTCAAAGCATAGAGAAACAATAAATAAAATATAAACAAGGGAACATTAGTTGAATATAGAGACATTATGCTTTTTTTTTCTTCTGTCCTGCTTAATGACTGAATAGTAAATGGAATATCTAAGAATTCAAAAGACAAATAAACTTTGACTTTCAAGTATCAACATGTTAATTCAACGCATTTAACTCCGCCTTGAACTTTATGTTTTTAAATTTTATATTTAACAGATATTTTGATATGACATTTGGAATGAACTAAGTCAAATGTCAATGAGACCTTATTATTAAATTACTAGAAATCACATATCTGGCAGAAAAGAGTTCTTTCAGGAGGGCCCCATGCCCCTTTGACCTCATTGAGATCCATAGATCAGCTTCTTTACATTGTCTGAATGAAACCCTTGGGTGTTGATGACACATATATATGTAGTGAATATAGGTAAATCCATGAGTCATACCATGTATCTAAAGATGCTATCGATTTAAGAAAATATATCAAAAAAGAACATCTTGAAAGTTGAAGTGATTTGCCTACTTCCTACTTCCTATTCTCGTGAGCAGGTATGCAACAGGTGTTTGGTAGAGCAAACTTTAAATTGTTTGCTTTAGATTTTGGTTATGACTGGTTTGTGTGTGTGTGTGTGTGTGTGTTCCAGTGAATACAAGAACTAGGTATGTGAGAAAATTGGTCAGATTGCCAAAATCTAAAGGCCTCAGGCGCAGATGCAGTGAATTTACAAGGAAGATCAAGAGAATTCGTTTCCGAATTAAAATCCGTGGATTTAGATGTTTTCGTAAACGATGGTTGACATCCCCAACTTCGTCTTCAATGAGATATACCAGATTGGAATAATGTATTTTCTATATTTTTTTAAACCATGCTTGTTTTGCAGTTAGAACACTGCAATAGTGCCATATATCAACTTGTTGTACTTCTTTGACTGTAACAAATAGTATTGGTGTGTTTGATTCCTTCAACATCAGTTCCATTACTTGTCACTTTAATTTCTTAAACTTTCTAGGTTCTTCAAACTTGATAACAGCAATTCTTAATCTATCATAACCTATCCAGTGGGCCTGTATAAATAAAATCAGACACCATGTAGTATGTAATATATTAAAGAATGAGTTCTATGACTATTTCTCACTAGTATGATCATATGATTTAATAATAGGTGAAAAAATTACATTAAAGCATTTAAATCAAAAGCAATAGGTATACATTTAAACGGAGAAGTGAGAACAGCATACTTTATGAGTTCAAATTCAAGAAAATTTTCTCTCAAACATAATTATTTTCTCTCCAATTATTACATGCAATGCAGACCTTCACCAAATCTGGTAAATTGCGGCAACAACCACATGACAATCGAAGAGACATCAGGTCCATCATTTTTAAATAATACAAGAATAATTGACAATTCAATATGTCTCATTACTTAGCATTTTAACATCTATTTCTGCACTGAAATATGGGGGAGGGGAATCAATGAGCTGGTCTAATTTCTATGTCATACTCATAGGCACTTCAACGTAATCTGAACTTCATAAAATAAAATCCAAAAGTACATAATAAAATAGTGCTAAATTTCTAGAAAGCATACCAGAGAACTCATCCACTGCCAGTAAATTTCTTGAAGTCTGAGAATTGAACACCTTGCCTTAGTTTCATTCTTATAGTTCAGTTGAAAAGAAAGAATACTTGGACAATTTTCAATAGCTACTTGCGCACATAGTACTGGAACCTTCTGCAGCTGCCTGCAGACTTGGGAATTAGAGGAGCATCACCTCCTCACAAATGCTTTCAGTTTCTAATCTCATTTTCCTGCTTCTGAATGGACACACTACTTTACACTCAAACTTCAAGAGAAACAACCACCTTTTTTGATAGACAACTCTCATGCAGGTAAGCTAATATAAGTAGACAGCAGGCAATAACTGTCTAGTAAGGCTATGGAGCTATAAATTGCCATCAGATGAGAAATACAATGGTGAGAGCTACAAACCACTGGTATTGCAATTATATTGCATCAGAATAGTTATCACTTTAACAGTATCAAATGACTCAGAAGCTACCTACCACTGCCAATGTTGCCATCAAAGTTCAAGGAATAAGGATGCTGAGAGAGAATGCTGGTATTGCACAAAAGAAGTGCCATTATATCAGAGTTTACTAAGTCTCAAGTCACCCAAGTATGTTCTCAGTGACACATTCTTACTAGAGGAAGCATCTACAGATTGCAGTTATTTGAGGCTTTACATATCCTTGTTTTCTGTTCCCTATTTCTATTTCCTTAATGTTTGACCTAGCAGTGAGAGGTTGAACCAAACAATTAAAACTAAACCAAAAAGGTGTGGCTTCAGATATGATAACAATGTAAAGCAGGAAGAACAAAAAAGCCTCCGCGAGATATGGTCATCCTAGCCGTGGATGTTTCGTAAAGGTAAACCAATGATAGGCGATGTTTTGTAAAGGTAAAGCAATTATAGGCACACACACAAATTCTTTAAAGAAAATCTTTTATCATGATTGTACAAAAGTATTAATTCAAGCATAAAGCACAAATATTTATTGCCAACAACATTAGCATGCTGCATATCTCATCCTGTACTTTTTAAAACATTTGCATAAGCATAACCTCTCGCAAAAAAGTACATTTGTGTTGATAACAACTCAGACCATCTCAATTAGCTCAAAAAAAATAATTACATAGCAAGTAATCTTAAGCATGATCAAAACTAATCACCAAACAATGGCAAATACTTAACGATCCACAAAAATGTAAGAAACAAGCTCAGATGCCCCAATATAGACTTCCTATTGGTAAAGATAGAACAAGATAACTAACTTCCATTAAGAACTCTTTGTACAAAAAAATGTGAGAAGGAAAGAAGAAACAATAACATAGACCTCATTCCAGCTCAAATTCAGGAACAGGACGCATCAACGAGCTATCAGATTCAAGCTGCGCTAGCAACGGCCCGCTTGCCTCACCATGCCTCAAATTCTTATGACTTGACAACAACCCGAACAACACAAAGCTTCCAATAAACACCACAATTGCATGCGCAACAAACAACAGATTAATCAATGCCACTCCCCTTAAACCATCCTCCTCGAGATTACATTTACTATCAATAAAATCACTAGCAGTAGAGAGAGAAATCTTCTGACACCCTTTGAAAGCAAATGTATCAGTGTACAAAGAGAACCCAGTTTGTAACAACCAAGTCCCTTTAAAAATCAACCCACAAGACAAGAAAAACTCGGCAAAAAATGCAGTTGGCCTAATAGACAAAACAAAACAAGCACCGGCGCAAATAAGAGTCAATTCGCCTAACAAATTATAAGCCTCCCCACCAAGGCCTACAATTCCTTTCCCAACCACGGAATATTCCACAAGAAAGGAAATTCCCACAAAAAGAAACGCAAAACTCTCGTTAACGATAAAAGCGTCGTAAGTTTCACGAAAAACAATGATAATGATGAGTACCCAGAAGAGAAAAAGTGAAGCTGATTGCATAAAGAAGGAGAATCTGAAAGTGGGGTGGCCTGAGAATGTCAAGAAAAAGAATAACTCGCTAAAGGATGCAATGGGGAGGGAGATAATTAGGAAATAAAGATCAAGATTTTTGTGTCTTTGGTCAGAGAAATACCATAGTTTTGATCTGAAAAGAGAAGGGTTTTTAAGATAAAGAGAAGAAGAACAAAGGAGACGGCGAAGGCCAGCTGGGAAAAGGAAGAGAAAGGCGGTGAAATTGGTTGCCAATGATGCCATTTGATTTAGCGATGGATGGTGGTGATGACTGATGATGTGGTGGTGTGAAATGAGAAGATAAATGAAAAGAGATACGAAATCTAAACTGTAGATTATAAGAAAGATTGAAGCTTGTTGAAGAAAGTCGTTAGAAATCTTTGACACTTTCAATTGCAGACACGTTCTGGTGTGTTTGTTTCTGTGACTTTTTGAATCCTGGTTGTTTAAGGTTTTATTTAATTTAACCTGTAAAAATTATTGTCGGGACTCACGTTTTGCTTTATGCGGCGTCGTTTGCTGTGTTATTGTGTTATTGCAAATACATTTATCAATGTTTGCTGATCACTAGGTTGGAATATTATTTCTTTTTATTTCAAAATAGCCTTTTAAAATAAATTTATGAGTTTCCAATAATAATAACTTAATTTATTTATTATTCTTCATGTAGTTTCTCTGGGCTTGAAGTGAATAATTAGATAAATCTTTTCAATAAAGGAGAACGACATTTTTCGACCCAAGGTTTGGCGAAACGACTCTTGTCCACCCGTCAAGTTTCAAAATGACACTTTTTCACCCTTCGTCAGGTTCTATTCTAATAATGTTTTCAGTTAATATTTGATTGAAAAGACAAAAATACTCTCAAATAGTTTATTTCTTAATTAGTTTATTATAAATTAAAATTTAGTTAAGTCAAAATTTTTACTCTCGATTATTTATTAGTTCAAGTGTAAATATATATATATATTTTTTTTGTTTATTTAATTAATTAAGAATATTGATTTTCTGTGTTAATTAGTAAAAATGAAAAACATTATATTATGAAAAACATTATAAATTTAGTAGATTATTGAATAATAGTGATGAGATATTGATGACATTATAAATAAATAAATATTAAGGCCTTTTAACTTTAAACAATCTCATAGCATTACTCCTAACTTTTTAGGTTGGGTTAATTATTATTATTTTGATTTTTTAATATTTGACTTTTTGACTAATTAAAAAATAATAAAAAATTTATGAAGTCAAGTATTTAAGGGTATTTTCGTCTTTTTAGTAAAATGTTAACGAAAAACATAACAAAACCTACTGAAGGATGAGAAAGTGTCATTTTGAAACTTGAAGGGTGGGAAAGTGTTGTTTCGCCATACCTTGGGTGGGAAAATGTCTTTCTTTCTTTCAATAACCACCTCTATTAAGACTTGGGAGATTCAAATTTAAAAACCCATGTTGGACCATTTTACTCTTTTACTATTAAACTATCCAACTGTGGTTGTATTTCAATTGTTTTTATTGAAAAGAACTTGAATAATGAACCTTCAAATCGAATTAAAAATTTTAAATTTTGTGAAATATTACATTGGTGCAACATATAATTTGATAGTCAAACTTAAAATAACACCATATTCATTAATAATGTAAAACTTTATAATTGAAGTAATAAAAAATAAATTTAATTTTTTGGAATAGTAATCTCTCTCTTATCAAAAAGATTTTTTTATAACATGGATTTTTTTGTTTTTTTAAATTGGGCTCTCTCAAGTTGGTGTTGTTACTGTTGTAGCTAAAGTTAAGATCGCATATTAACGTCATTTGCCATTGAATGTTCTTATACTCAGGGGCGGAGGGAGAGGGCCAGAGGGGTAAGCAGGGTCAGTTGACCCTCTACTTTAAAAAATGATCAAAATTCAAATATATATATATATATATATATGAAATTAATTTTTTAAATTCATCAAATATATCAAATTAAATTCTTAGTTTTTACAAAAAAATCTCACAAACACATTTGATAAATTATAGAGATATATATATATATATATATATTATATATATATATATATATATATATATATTAGGGTTAGCTTATAACATTGTACGGTCTTATTAAATTAGACCATCTCCAACTCACAACACCAAATTGATGCAAGTTTCACACCAAATTAGTGTGATTTTTGATATATTTTACTATAATCTTCAACTCATTGTACCAAATATTGCATCAAAAGAATATTCTTTTTTTTTCTATTATATCAATAATTAATCTATTTCACTAATATTTTTGTATACATTAATTAAAATATAAATGATATTTTTATTAATAATAATAACTTAAAAATTTACTAATTAATAAAATTAAGCATTTATTTAATCAAATAAAATTACATCTAATATAAAATGCAAAAAAAAAAAAAAAAAAAAAAAAAACAACAACACAAAAGTAAAATTCCATATTGATAGTAATTTAATTTTCTGAATTAGTATATTTTTTTCCACAAATGATCAATTAATGCATTCCGAAGAGCATGATGAGCCTCTATATTTTTTATTTGTCTATGTCAAACAAGTAAATTTTGAAATTGGATTTGAATTCCATAATCAATCTAAGCTTGCGTGAGTTTTTCTAAAATGAACAATCAAGAATTATGCAAAAAAGAGCTCAACAACAAGGTCAAGGATCTCAAAATAGCTTTAATTTTTTCCAATATTTTGATGATCTTAGAGGATCTAGAACTAATCTATCAGAATACTAAATTGTTATTTTAGTTTATGTTGTATTTTCTTTTAATTTTAGTATTTTTAAATAAGTGTTAATTTTTATTTTGAGCTATTGTAGTTTAATATTTGTATTGAATAAAGTTTTGTTTTTAATTTTTCATCATTTTTTGAATTATATAATTATTATGAATTTATTATTATAAATAATAATCAAATTAACATTAATACAAATAACAAAAATAAGAAAGTAAAATATATTTTATAGTAGATGAATAGTATCACACTAAATTGGTGTGGATGAATAGTGTTATACCAAATTTGGGATGATACTGTTCACTTACACCATTTTGGTGTAGTTTTTGGTGTTGGGTTGGAGTACATTTTCCACACCATTTTGGTGTTTTAGGGTTTACATCAAAATGAAAAAAACCAAAATGGTGTTGGGTTGGAGATGCCCTTACAGATACTCAGATAGAAAATTGAACCTGAAACTGTGTGCCTATCCACACTATCTTTAATTTGTTCTAACCATCTGCACTACTCTCAGATAGGTCTTATCAAGATATTGAAGTTAGAAAAAAAAAAAAGATAGATATAAAAAATATACATGCATTATTTTAAGGGGTCAAAACATAAAAATGAAATTACAACAAAAGTTATAATATCTTACTATAAAAGCTAGATAAATCTTTGAATATTTTATTATTAGAAATTTTATTATAATTTAATTTGAAGGTATTGTTATTTGTGTTCGCTTAATAACTTATTCATTAGTAAGTTTCCTTGGTTTTGTTTTACACTCATTAAAGTATTATAAATTTATTCCATATGGTCAAACACAATCATAAATATATTAATTATAAAGAGTATTATATATAAATACTTATATTTTTGTATAACTTATACTTAAGATATCATTATTATAAGTTTATTTATAATTATATTATTAAGTTTAATTAACGTTTTGGCCCTTTAGAATGAGTTTCTGGTTACGCCCCTTGCTTATATCATGGTTACAAAGTTAGGATATAAAACCTATATCTAAATTGATGAGGCACCTTATTTTTTTTTAATTAATCAGTTCATCTAGAACAGATTACCAAAAAACCAATATCATATTTTTATTGTAATTTAATTGTTGATATATATATATAAAATAAAAATATGATATTATGGATGGATTTATTTTATATTTTATTTGGTTAAAAATTAAAAACATTTGCAAGGGAGGACCATGAATAGCTAATTGGAGTCGATCCTTAATGGGCTTTGTACAAGTCCATTAAAAGACTCCGTATTAAAACGAAGGAATGAACGAACATAGAGATCCTGATATTTATTGGTGGTTCATCTTGAAGAAAGGCAAGAGACAATGGCAACAAGTGAGGCGGCGACTGTTACTGCGACTGCGACTGCGACTGCGACTGCGACTGCGACATCGGCGGGGACCGAGACGCAGCCGCACAAATTAGAAAGAAAATGGACGTTTTGGTTCGACAACCAATCCAAGCCCAAACAAGGCGCCGCCTGGGGCACCTCTCTTCGCAAAGTTTACACTTTCGACACCGTCGAAGAATTCTGGTGGTACAAACCCTAACATCATTTTCCCTCTCACAATTTCTTCTCGTCAATTTAATTAATGAGATGGGCTTTGTTTGATTTGTTTAAGTTTTGTGACTTTGTTATTGATTTGAGTTTCTGTCATTTTTGTTGATTTGGTGTCTAGGATTTTTCCATATTAATAATCTATTTTGATTGGTTGTGGTTTCAAATTTTATGTTTTGAATCAATTTGTTTCCTTGGCTTTTTTAAATTCATATATATATATATATATATATTTATTTATTTATTTATTTTTTTTTATGTTTCTTTTAATTTTGATATTTTTTGGTTCTTGAAAAAGTATGCTTTTGTTTTGTTTTGCAGTTTGTATGATCAGATATTCAAGCCCAGCAGATTGCCTATTAATGCTGATTTCCATTTGTTCAAAGCTGGAATTGAACCCAAATGGGAAGATCCTGAGTGTGCTAGTGGAGGAAAGTGGTCTGTCACCAGCAACAGAAAAGCTATCCTTGATAATATGTGGCTCGAAACGGTAAGTTTCTTAACTGCCAAGCCATTTTGCTTTTTGTGGAAATTAATTCGAACTGTGGCCGTTGGTTTTTTCACTACGACTCTATGGTTATCAATTAGATTGGTTTTCTTTTGTGCAGATGATGGCTTTGATTGGAGAGCAATTTGATGAGGCAGATGAGATTTGTGGTGTTGTTGCTAGTGTACGCCAGAGGCAGGACAAACTTGCATTGTGGACCAAGACAGCCGCAAATGAAGCTGCCCAGGTATGATCTTTAGATGTTTACATATTCAGTTATAGATATTGGTTGTACTTGGCTGATTTATAATCCTGTTAATTAAATTTATTTTTTTGGCTACTGAATTAGATAAGTCATGTTTTGGTCCCTTAGATGGTATAAATTACTTGTTCTAAGGTGCTATTTTTGATATTTATGCTTGAGTTGTGGTGTAAATATCTATGTACTTTCTGCTTGCTACTTGAATCAAGATTTTGATTCAAGTAATATGGTTAATAGTGCTCTGTCTAATTTAACCACAAATGAGAAAGCATACTTTTTATGATGAACATAAACTTAATATTATGCTCTTTTCACAACTCAAAACCTAATTAGTTATTCCTCACCATGTCTAAGATTTCTCTTTCACAAGTCAATCTAGAACAGTAGCTAATTGGACGTGGTTGGGGGATTCCTTAAGACTGTTTGACAGAAACTTTAATATATATTGGCTTTCCTTTTTAATATATTGTTTAGATGGGCAGCCTCTCTGTCTAATTTAAAGCAGTATGATTATTAGTACTATGTTGTCAAGAGGAAGGGTGAGTTCTCTGCAAAGTTTCTCTCAGAAGCAAAGGTCTTGTTTTCTGTGGGCGATGAGTATCAAAATTGTTGTGTTTATTTAATTTCTAGTGATAAAAAAATGAGGTAACCTTTGCTTCTGTTTGACTTGTTTGGTGAAACTTTGGTTTTTATGTTGGTTCCTGTCTGCTGTTATTATATCTACACCTTTTGTATTTTTTTGAGATTGCTTTCATTAGAATTAATTCAATGTGACATTGTTATTGCAATCTTGGTCGTTTGTGTGGAGCTCATCTTTAGTCTGATTGTTTCTTGTGACAATACTGCGTTCTACGCCATTTTTAATTAAAAGGTATTAGTCATGTTGCACTGCTTTTTTTAGAAAGTTAATACTGTTTCGCGTATATGACAGCATTCCATGAATAGCTGTTTGGATGACATTTTTATGGTGATTTACTTTATATATGTAGAATATTGTTTATGCCAAAGTGATCTAGATCTCTGATGTTCTTTTGTACATGCTTCTTGTTGTTGGCTATAAAATGCATGAATGCGTGCAAAATGTTTAATGTCATTTCTTAATTGCTGTTACTGTGAAACTTGTGTAGATGGGCATTGGGAAGAAGTGGAAAGAGATCATTGATGTCACTGATAGGATCACTTACAGCTTCCATGTAAATATCCTTTTAATTTTTTTTTTCCCTCTCTTTATCTATGCTTAAATCTTCAACCTCTCTTTGCTTTTTGTTGCAGGATGATTCTAGAAGAGAAAGATCAGTGAAAAGCCGATACAATGTGTGAATTCATTGTGATGATTTTGCTGCAGAGGCCTGTACTCTTAGTTGCCACACCATGGCTGAAGTTAATGAAACTTTCTGTATTTTTTGTGCTCTGTTTACCAAAAACACCCCATAATTTAAATATGCTGCGCAAGATGGGTTTTCTTTTTTTTGGATGTAATGTAATACATAATATTCCTTGTTTTGATATATGTTGAGATTTTTTTTTGTAATTTTTTTCGCTTTCTCCTGTATCACAAATTGATGTCTTCACATACTGGATGGGTTAAGTTTTAGAATTCTTGTCTGGTCAGTTACTGATTACTGATTCCACAGCCTCCCTCAACCATATGGTAATGTTGCCGAAACATTTTATGTTTCACCCTGTGATCCTCCTGATTGTGGATTTAATATGTCAAATTTTGGATAATTTGGAAGCAGAGGACCTCATAAAATAAGTAATTTCTTGTTATTTCAATAATCTAATAAAGAAAGGCTACAGTGGAAGGGAAGAATAAGTGGATATGAGAAACATTAACATTCTAGTTATCTGTTTCTGGGTAAAATACTCACTCAGAAGAGAAGAAGTATGTTTACATGTAACAGCTCTTGAAAGGAATTATAAATTTCAAAGCATCTTTCATGGTTGTGACACTGACAACACGAAAATTAAGTGGTGTTTATCATGCAAGGAACCCAAGTCTCTCTCCATTTTTCTTCGCCAAACGAATCAGTCCTTGCCTTTGTTTTGGATCAGCTCCTATTGATTTGCAAAATTCTGTAATCACCTGCCAACATTTCACATAAAAAAAGATTTCAGCAATTGCATAATCCAGCTTTCTGCACCAGGAATCATAACAAAGAAAAATTCAGATTTGTATTTTACAAAAAAAAAACTAATAGAAGGGGTCAAGTATTTGTAAGTTGTTTTTTTTCTTTTTCTCTTCTTTCTTTCTTTAAAATAAATAAATAAATAAATAAACAGCAAGAAATTGAGAAATTCAAGTCAGTTCTGACTGGAATGAAGGAATTACACTACACAGTAACAGTACACTAACCCTTAATTTGAGTTACTTGAAATACAAAAACCTGATGATTGAAACACCATATCTCCTTAGGTTATAGAAAGTAATAGATGGTTTTATAGAAAAAGACATACTGAAAAGATAACTTGATAAACAAAAGTTTAAAGGGTAAATGGAGAAAACTAGAGATACCTGAGAATGCAAAGCGATTGCTTTGCCTCTAAACTGATTGAACCGCTTCTTGCCAATAATTTGACGAGCGACAACAACTAGAGGAGCAAACACACCTTTCCCTTCATTAACATTCTTCATCATAGGCGCTGATTTAATGGGTTTCGCCACACGAACATTCGGCACTGACTTAACCAACATGGGATAATCTTCACCACTCACTGAACTTCCCCAGCTTCCATAAAACGATGAACCTAAACCTCCCTTAAACCCAGTTGCACATATAGCAGTAGCCATTGCAAAACACAAAACAAAGCTTCTCTACTCGCAAGTTTAAAGCTTTAACTCTGCTGAATGAAAGTTTTAGAGGGTATGGTTTTGTGTGTTGGTGAGTTTTTGATACTAGAATTAGAGGATATTTTGTCTGCAAAATTTGAGAGCCTCAGGATTTTATTAGAGGGTTGTGAGGGAGAGAGAGTTATGTGAAGCATTAAGAGCCACACATTGATTCTGGTGGTTTGAATTATAGTTCATGTTCATTCTGAACACGTATGTTACTTATGGTCCCCGTTTGTCAAGAAAAAAAATCTAGATCTGGGATTTTAGTGGCTCCTGCTTATGACGTGTCCCCATTTTTATGGTTGATTAATCATCTCATCAGAAGATCATTATTTTCCACCGTTTGATCGAGGAACTTGGTTGGAAACTTGCATGGGCAACATGACATAATAGTAGTAAAATTGGACGGTTGAGAAAAAAAAGTTGGACGAACATTTATGTTTTGACCTTAGACTTTTGAAGATACCAATGTGAAATTGAACAAGTAGTTTAGTATCTTCCATTCCAATATGTTTAGTTCCTACCATTGCGGAAAGTCCGACAGAATGTTCGATGAGGCGAATTTGAATTTGTAGTGTTCGATGTTGCTGTTAGTTGGGGCTCATATGAACTTTCCATTAAGTTTTTAGATTTTGAAGATTGACTTGCCTAATAATTACGACAATGATTGCAAGATTGGTTCAAGCAAACTACTTCTAGGTGGTTGAGTAGTTCGATAGAGATTTTTGGGTGTATTATTCAAGAGGTTTTGACTTCGAGTATTTCCTTGATTGCTAATAGAAATAGCTACTGAAGCTTTTACTCGATCGCTAGTTCTAGGGTTCGTCCCTCTCTGGTTGCTAATAGAGGTAATCACCAGAGTTTTTATCCAACCAGTAGTCTCAGAGTTTCAAGAGATTAATTGAGGTGCGTATAAACTGTTAGTTCAAGCAAAAATCAAAATTTTCGCTAATTAAATATATATTTCGATGTTCTTCAATAATATTTCCTTTGAAAAGATTTGTGCTAGAAAGTTCCCAAACATGGAATCAATTATTACGTACCTTCTTCTTGCACCACATTTATATTTGACTATCAAAATTAGAGAGAAATTTGGGGTGTTCAGTAGGTTAATTGAGAGTTTAAGCTCTGTGTGTCTTTGTCTTAGGCACATACTTTCTTTTTGCAATATTTTATTTACTTCAGCACATTGCATTGCATTTATGAATAGTTTTTTTTTCTTTTTTTCTTTTTTTCCATTTTTATAAGAAAAAAAATTCCCTTAGTTCATGTTTTCTTTTTCTACAAAATTTCCAGGTTTAAGAGAAGGTTGATAAGAATTTTTTTTCTCATAATAAGTGATAATGGTGATTTTACTCTTCCATTTTCTAAGTTGGTATTTATCTTAATGTTATGGTAATTTTGTAATCAAAGTTCATATATTGGTTTTAGGCAAATTGCAAAAGCCTAACTAGCTTTTTCCAGTTTGTAATACATGATAATGTGCAGCCTTGTATATTACCAATTCTAAAGTCAAAATTCCTTCATGAAAGAATTGTTAAAGTTATAAATATTGTAGTGTTGGTGTAACACATGATAGGTGGGTTTCTAGAGGTATTATCCGCTTTGGGCCACAGGTTGAGCTATTGGCAGACCTGTACGATTTTGTCCTAAAAAGCCGTATTTGGGTGATGAGGGTGTCATTGTGCTATATAAGGGGACCAAAGCCTTCCTCTCCTAGCAAATGTGGGAAATTGACACCAACATGTAGGAAATTAAATACAGTTATTAAGTCATTTATTTTCATTCATAATTTGTAGAAATAATCAATGTTTTAATGACCAACCTAGGGTGAAACCGGCAAAGTTGTCGGGTCCCAGGTTGATCGGTTTAACTGGCTTGACTAGCCGGTTTAACCGGCTGGTCAACCGAGTGTCAAAAAGTTTAAAATTCAACAAAAACACCCCTAAGAATTTGTTAAGTCCTTAAAGGTTTAAAATTTAACAAACACACCCCAAATACAAATTGGCGGTCGACTGGTTGGTAGCAACGACACACCAAATGCAATCCGAATCATCCCTTGAACCCATTCTCCAAAAAATCTACCCAAGATCACCGACACTAGTGTCGACATTCCAAGTCAGATATCACCACCGCTAGCTTCGACAACCCTCCCCATCGTCACGAAACCCCCAGCCTCCTGACCAAAACCCATCTCATCCCACCTCCGTTCGCCTCACTAATCACCGGCAAAAGTTGGCTGTTGTCGCTGCCTTTTTTTTCGATTTCTAGTTGATTCACTCATCAGAAATCACCTATGTTACCACCATTGCACTCACCAACACTTTCTCTTCAAAAGCCCAAACATCATGACCTCCAATTGTTCACCAATCATCATCCCAACTTCTAAGGTTTTTGGTAAATAGGGAAATGGGTAACCCGGCCTAGTGAAAGCCCCAGGTCTCGGTTGAACTGGTCGGGCCGGGTTTTCAAACACTGGAAATAATAATTCCTTAACAAGTGAAAAAGAGTCTTGTACTAAATAACTAAAATATTTAGTGTTTTCTCAGGACGTTTCAACTCACTTTAGAACCCAAAATTTTCAAAAAAAAAAAAAATCGCTGGGTGTGTTTGGTTTATTATTTTGGATAGGATTTTGGGGACAATATTGGATAATTGAATATGGAAGTATTACGAGGTAAAATTTAAAAATTTATAAAAAAAACCCCCTAAGTTTGCTAATTTAATAAATACCCCAATATATAAAAATATGTAAAATGACAAAAAGACCCCCACCACCCGCAGTGCCAGATTCTGGCCACCACCGCCGGAATCTGGCCTGAAAATTGCGTAACGACACATACCGGCTGGATCTGGCAGGTATGGCGTCGCTATGGCCTTTTCCGGCCAGATCCACCACGGATCTGGCTGGAAAAGGCCAGATCTACAGCCATATGTGGCTGTTGACGGCCGAAAAAGGCCAAAGAAGGCCAGATATGGCCATCGTTGTCGGTCAACGATGGCCAAGATTTGGCCGTCGTTGACATTTCTTTGGCCGTCACTAACGGCCAGATTTGGCCTTTTCCGGCCAGATCGGTGAATTACCGGCCAGTTCTGGTCGGTAATTCACTGTTGTGGCAGATACCGGTTACCACCGACGGTGGTTGCCGGAATCTGGCAAGTATGGGTCACGGGGGTATTTTTGTTAATGTTTAAACTTTTTTTCAGAGAGTATTTAATGCAATTAATAACCTTATGGAGTCTAAAAGTAATTAAAAAAATAAGCTAATATTTCTAGAATAATGTTCCAAATATTATTTGGAGAATAGGATTGGGAATATGGGCAGAAATAATAAGCCAAACGCAATTTTTAATTTCCTTTTCAATCTTGTGTATTATGATGGAAACAATATGAATGTCAAGAAATGAATTTCGTAATCTAATTACAAAATCCAATAGAAGCAAAACACATGGTAACTCCTGTTACATCAAATGATAATTTAATCCTGCAATAATAATCTGACAGGTTTTGAACGAGAAAGTATATATGGTCTCCCTTCAACATGCCGGAGGAAAGCTTTTGTATGGATTGCTGAATGCTGATGTGTTCCCGGGACGTGAAAATACAACCTGCATTATGGAATAAATGAAATTGACACTGTCACATCAACTCTCATCACACTTAAGGCGACACGACACTACTAGAAATGAACGGTTGTTTCTTATGAAGAAACAATCATTTTTTTATAAGAAAAGACGGTTCCCTAAGGAACAACCAAAAGAACAACGTTGTTCCTTAAAGAACAATCATTCCTTTCATAAGACATGACTGTTTCTTCATAAGGAATGATCGTATTTTTGATTTAGTCAAAATCATTTCTGACATATTGTGAGAATTGATTGTGGACGTAATATTACTATATTAAATTTTATACTAGACGTGAGGAGATGCAGCAATTATCNGACCAAAGCCTTCCTCTCCTAGCAAATGTGGGAAATTGACACCAACATGTAGGAAATTCAATACAGTTATTAAGTCATTTATTTTCATTCATAATTTGTAGAAATAATCAATGTTTTAATGACCAACCTAGGGTGAAACCGGCAAAGTTGTCGGGTCCCAGGTTGATCGGTTTAACTGGCTTGACTAGCCGGTTTAACCGGCTGGTCAACCGAGTGTCAAAAAGTTTAAAATTCAACAAAAACACCCCTAAGAATTTGTTAAGTCCTTAAAGGTTTAAAATTTAACAAACACACCCCAAATACAAATTGGCGGTCGACTGGTTGGTAGCAACGACACACCAAATGCAATCCGAATCATCCCTTGAACCCATTCTCCAAAAAATCTACCCAAGATCACCGACACTAGTGTCGACATTCCAAGTCAGATATCACCACCGCTAGCTTCGACAACCCTCCCCATCGTCACGAAACCCCCAGCCTCCTGACCAAAACCCATCTCATCCCACCTCCGTTCGCCTCACTAATCACCGGCAAAAGTTGGCTGTTGTCGCTGCCTTTTTTTTCGATTTCTAGTTGATTCACTCATCAGAAATCACCTATGTTACCACCATTGCACTCACCAACACTTTCTCTTCAAAAGCCCAAACATCATGACCTCCAATTGTTCACCAATCATCATCCCAACTTCTAAGGTTTTTGGTAAATAGGGAAATGGGTAACCCGGCCTAGTGAAAGCCCCAGGTCTCGGTTGAACTGGTCGGGCCGGGTTTTCAAACACTGGAAATAATAATTCCTTAACAAGTGAAAAAGAGTCTTGTACTAAATAACTAAAATATTTAGTGTTTTCTCAGGACGTTTCAACTCACTTTAGAACCCAAAATTTTCAAAAAAAAAAAAAATCGCTGGGTGTGTTTGGTTTATTATTTTGGATAGGATTTTGGGGACAATATTGGATAATTGAATATGGAAGTATTACGAGGTAAAATTTAAAAATTTATAAAAAAAACCCCCTAAGTTTGCTAATTTAATAAATACCCCAATATATAAAAATATGTAAAATGACAAAAAGACCCCCACCACCCGCAGTGCCAGATTCTGGCCACCACCGCCGGAATCTGGCCTGAAAATTGCGTAACGACACATACCGGCTGGATCTGGCAGGTATGGCGTCGCTATGGCCTTTTCCGGCCAGA